TTTTTTTTTTTTTTTTGTACAACCTTTTATGAAACGTGTGTGTTTCAAATATACACCATCCCCAGGAAGTAGCAACTGGAATCAGGTCAACTCGTATAAACAAATGGCTTCATTCTTTACAAAGCTTTCAGTACAAGCATTATTAACTTCCTTTTAAGGTTTCACAAGTGAGCCCGTTTCTTATTTTATCTTCAAGTTACAATTTTCTGATTCACTCCTTGACAGTTCTTAATGATAATTTCTGTTTCTTTTTTTGGCTAATGAAATAAGCAAGACAAGGGAAATAAATGCAGTGCCAGTCAGCCTGAATGTTTTGCAGTATTTGAGTTTCTAAGTTTACTGTCTGCAGGTGTAGGTAGAATTTCAGTGCTTTCTGTGGCAGCCGGTGAGCCAAGAGTTAATAGAGTGTTCTTAGAAATGCTACAACAATTGCTTCACCATCCTTTACCTTTTACCTTGTTTTCATTTAACGTTACCAAAATTAAATGCTAACTTTCCAAATTAAAGTCTCAGGAATGCTTTTAGTTGGAGGGGTTTGATAGGTTTATATTTGCTCATGGATATGTTTTATAGGTTATTTTTAAGCACTCCCGGGGCATTTTTAGAGCACTTCTAAATCTTTAATTAATCCACATCTTTGTGGTGGGTCAATGATATTGTGGATGAGAAACACAGAGCAGAATGATTGTGTGATTAGCCAATCCTTACACAGCCTAACGGAGAAAGGCCTTCTCCCAAGACCTGAGAACTTCCGGCTGACCCACAGCCTGGCCCCAGGTCTGTGCATCACACAGTATCTGTCCTTTCAGTGGCCACTGTATATTGATGCTTACTTGTATCAGTTTGATAGTTTGTTTGAATACATCGGAAGCCAGTATCTCTGCTGCTGTTTGATAGGAAAGAAGTAGCGTTTGGACTAACAGCTTGGAATTCAGTCTGTATAATCTTGAATTTTATTTCTCACTAGAACTCATTGTTAATTAGGACGCTGTTGAAGAATAAAAGGTCCTACCAATTTGTAAAGAGAATCATTGCTGTTTTGTTTCTTTTAGAACTAATAGTCCCAGAACAAAAAAAAAAAATAGCTAGGTTTCTGTTTGTTTGCCGCTTAATTTGCTAACAGCATTAGAGGATAGGGTTTTGAGTATAGACTCTGCAGAAGGGGAGCCCAAGGCATCACACGATTAAGAAGCATCAAGCTACTGACCTAGGACAGAGGACTCTAGTGTTCATTAAATATTTATACTCTGGCTCCGTTGGTATTGTATTCATCGACTAAGCAGTAAAGATTGTAGCAGTGTTTCAAAAAAATATCTTCTACCGTTTCATCTGAAACTCACTCTCTTGTTGCCCAGATTTCGCCGCCAGCTCTCTGAACCCTGCAATTCCTTTCCTCCTTTGCCGACAATGTCAAGGGAAGGACGTCCTATGTATCAACGACAGATGTCTGAGCCAAACATCCCCTTCCCACCACAAGGCTTCAAGCAGGAGTACCACGACCCAGTATACGAACACAGCACCATGGTTGGCGGTGCGGCCAGCCAAAGCTTCCCCCCACCTCTGATGATAAAACAGGAACCCAGAGATTTTGCATATGATTCAGGTAGGCCCATGCTTTGATTTAATTACCTGAAACATCTTTCTTCCTCCCTCGTCAATTTGCTTAATGTTGTTGTCCACCTGGGGTGGCTCTTGACTTTTTTTTTTTTTTTTTTTTTTAAGGTAGGTCTTTCAGATATTTTAGCCCTTATTTGAAAATTGCTCTATATGTGAAGGGTTGGACTATCAACCAGTTTTGCCACAAACCAATGTCTGGAAATGAAACCAGTTGAATGAAAAGTGCAGTTTATAAAATTATGCACTTATATGTGAATTTATAATCTAAGAAGGCTAACAGTGCATTACGAAGTATTTCATAAGTAGTTGTTAGGCTTTTCTTGATTCTGTGCTTTGTTTTTTCTACTTTTACTACTTCAGGGCTATTGGAAAACAATGTTTATGTAAAGTGATATTCCTCTGTATTGCTTAAAGTAAATTATCAGTGTCAAAGATTCCAAGGTTCTGTATACATGAGGACAGAAATAGCAACATACAGACTCGTGGTTCCTTCATCCAGCACAGCTCAGCTTTGTCTCAATGAGCTAAACAGCACCACAGTGTGGTCTGTTAAGTAGACAGAGGGGCTTCCCGAGAGTAAGAAGGGCTTAAAATTGATTCCAAATGTTGCCACCAGTTTGCCAACATTTAATTTTAAGATGTTAGCAAAAGTACTAAACTCATCTCCACTGAGTTTTTCCTGGGAAATTAGGACATCTGCTTTTCACACCTCCCGGGTATTATTAAAACATGTATGGAATGGAATAAAAGCCAATGTTTATGAGAAAGGTACCCTTACACCTAATTATCATTACTGTAACGACAGACAAGAGATGATTGTGGACATGGAAATATTTGAGAACAGCGTTGTTCCCTTTTGTCTGGAGGCAAAGGTATGGGCATTCTTCATGAAAGAGCTATCACTTCCCCAGTAATACAAGATGGAGCCCTAGGACATCAAATGTCTCTATCCCATTAGGCTTTGCAGCCTCCCTCACTGGACAAGAAGTTCCAAGCACAAGGGAACTGCCACCCCTGAAAGCACATTTGCTCCTCAGACCTATAGGCCAGCTGGTCCTGAGTCCACTTCCCAGACCTGAGCAGTTCAGGAAGGCCTTGTTTTCTGAGCGTGGAGCACATGGTTTTTGTTTGTTTCCAAGCCTAAAGGTGTGGCTGAAAGACAGCTGTGCGTGTGAGGTGAGGGTGAACTTTGATGTATCCTTGTGGGGCACAATGCTGAGCTGAGAAGTGGAGGGAAACTTGAATGAAGGCTGGACCTTGGCTCTCTCCATACTGTTCTACTCCAGGGTTAACCATCAGAGATTTTCTTAAATGTTGAGTTTAACCTGTCTTTCTGAGTTGTGTCATCCTGATATGTTTTCAGAGATGGAGAAAAGAAAATATATTTATCAATTTGTTTAGCTGATTTATAATTAAAACAGTGTAACCATATGGCATTATAAGGGGCTTTATTTCAATTCTTCCCAGAGTCTGTAATTTGGGGACTATCTAGAATAATCTCATAGTGGTTTCATTTTAGATTTTTTTTCTATCTGTCCATTAATATTCCTATTAAGAACCTGCAAGTCAGTAGTCTTTTTTTATAAAAAGGATACACTTTTATCTATAAATTTCACAACCTGTCAACTGACAGCCTAAACTATATTTTAATTTGTTACAGTTTTCAAAGTCAACTCATCGATGTTTCAAGATACACAGTATATGGAAATGAAACACATTAGCCAAAGGCTTACATAGCACATTTCTTTGTTCTACAATTTTTTATATGTATAATACCAAAAAATAATGTCCATATGGTTTTCTTTATTCTCTGATTTTCTCTGTGTGTATCTTATATTTGTATCACACACACAGTTCTATGCAGCTCAGTGTTGATGACATACAACTTTTCTTGAGATCTGAATCAAACCGGAGATGTAAGGACTTTAATGAGGTCAGAACATAGGAGTTGGTGCTGTAAGAGTTAAATGCTTTATTCGCCAGCCCTGATATTGTGGACTTCAGAGTTGGCCACTGTATGACCCTCAAAAGCACAGATTCTATCGCTCATGAGCTTCAAAAGCATGGCCTGCATCCTATGTGAAAGATATGTAGGGATTTCTTCGCAGAGTGCCATGTATCTCACAAATGTCTTATCAAACATTTGTTTAATATTTTAGAAGCTATTTGCTTGTGCTACTTTCTCCCTTTTAATTATACTTTAAATTGCTGATGTTGTATAGCACTTTTGAATTAAAAATTCAAAATTCTTGATAGGGTTTATTTTTGTTACTTGAATAGGTAAGTGGTGAAGATGGACCCTTTGGGTTTGATTGAAAAGAAATGTAGCAACTATTGATCCAGGCCTGTGAAAAGTTAATGGTGTTTCAAAGCATATTTTACTGGTCACCAAACTACTGCTCTGAAGTCAACACCTCTAAATGTCCTATATTGCAATCAACAAGTACGATCTCTAGATATTTTATTTTGTCTTTATTAGTTCTTTTATCCTTGTTGAGAACACAGTAAATAACCTTTTAGGAGAGCAAAAGTATTTATAATTGAAGCCCTGATTTATTTCTTTGCCCATTGTGTTGAACAAACATCACATTATTTTATATATGATTTAAAAACATCACAGAAAACATTTTCTAAGTCATTTAACTCAGCATCTATGATCCTTTCAGAAGTCCTGTTGGACTCGTTATTGCTAAATTCAGTGTATCATAAATGTTGTGACAATAAAAGATGGCTTGTAAGGGAAAAAGCAGCATGATTGTGCTCTAATAAAACCTGACATTAATTATGACATGGGAAATGGAAGGTCTATTAATTATAATTATAACTGCAGGAATGAAATTTCAACTGCTGAATATTTAAGATAAAAAATTCAAAATATTATGTTAGTAGAGTAGATCATGATTTTTTTCAGAGACAAGAAAAACATTTGGATCAGAAAACAGAGGACATAAAAAATGGTTCTCTTCTGTTTGCTTCATTTTTTTGTTTGTTTGTTTGTTTGTTTGTTTTTGAGACAGCATCTCACTGTGTGGTCCAGGCTGAATTTAAACTCACTAGGTAGCCTAGGCTGGCCTCCAACTCACTGCTCTCCACCTGTATCACCATCTCAAATCTGGGGTTACAGGTGTGCGCCACCACATCTAGCAAGAAATTCAGTTTGGTGAACTAAAGAACGGAGGTGGTGAGCTAGTGCAGTGCGATCTGCTTGTGCTGTTATAGCATGTTGTAAAGTGCAATATAATGTATCTACCCCTGGTGCATTCCTTCTTTTCCAGCCTAGCAGAACTCTGGAAAGTAGTATATACTCTTTTATACTTGTTGGTTGGCTTTCCCATATCCAACGCGATGTTTTTCTTTTGTGCTCTGCAGCCAAGTGGCCACATAAAAAGTAAAATTTGTATTGAGTGATTTATTCAAAGCACTGTATTCAAAGTCCTTTATGCACTATCCTTTTTTCATAGAGCCATAGCTGTTTGCCCATTTCTATGTGTGCGCGTATGTTTTTGAAAGTTTAGAAAGCCCAATGAAGCAGATATTTTAGTGTTTATAACAACGTGTTTTACTGGAGTTGTATGTGTTGATTGGTTGGTATTGTTTTATTCTGTTTCATTTTATTTTATATTTTGATAGCTTAGATCATTTTTAGGGGAGCTGTGGGCACACAAAACTAAAAATTTGACTTAAGAAAATATCAACACAAAATTTCACATGCTTTGATTAGATAATTTGCTCTCAGGAATTTATGCTAAGAAATAGGGAGAGGTATCCAGTGAATGCTTGAGAGAAACAAGGTAAAATATTGTAAGAATTGATAATATGGTAAAATAAATTATGCCTACCAGCAAGAGAAGTATTCTGTAGCCTTTAGAAGTCAGTTTTAAAAATATTTAATGAAATATTGAGTTAAAGGAGTTAAAAGTGAAAATGTCCATAAGGCACGACTCCAACGTAAGTCAATACAGAAGTACAGGTTGATGGTGTCATACGCGACTTGTGTTTTCTCTATGAAGTGCTTTCGATTTTACTGCTTTCGTAGTCAGACAGAATAAGTATTTTTTATAAATCTGTGCATTTAGACTTGAAGACTCAAGGTGCCTAAGTTAATCACATCATTCCTATAAATGAAAAGAATACTAAGCAAATGATGACACTATAGCCTCGTGTGTTACAAACCAAAATGACTTTCAGTTAGTCTGTGCCCAGACTGCCTTAGAGAACAGAGGGAAAGTGAACACACAACTCGGTCCTTTGTTGACACTGTCTGCAACTCTGCCGTGGGCACTGTGTTCCTTTACACTTTGGGATGTACTAAAAATCTTAACTTGGGTGTTGTTGAGAAGAGTGATACATCAATATTTGCTTTTAGCCCTCATGCTTGTTCCAGTATTATAATTAGTTTAGGAGGCGCTTCCCAAGCCATGCGCTAGAGCAGTTTAATCAAAGTATTGGGAATGAAGACTGGAGAAGAATTCTACAGGAGCAATAAGAAGGTTGCTGGAATAAGACAAAGGAGGAAAATGATTTTTTTTTTGAGGTGTATTGTAAAAGGGAAAGTGGAATTAGAAAGCAGGGGAGAGCCCACGTGTGTTTTGAATTTTCAAATTGTGTTTCTTAGAGCCACCTCTGCTATCCCTGAGGAGGCCTTCTTTCACGTTGGAGGACTGTAACAATTATCTGGTGGCAAATGTCAGCACTGCTTTAAATTAGAAAATTGATGCAGATAGACATTTGATAGAATTATAAATCTTCATACTCATGAAGACTCTTGGAGATCACCTCCTTCAAATTCCTTCTCCACACCCAGTTTTACAGTTGAAACAGCAAGAGCTTTATCCAACGTAACTTCTCATTTAGTTACACAGATATTTTCTGAAACAGTCAAAACTACTAAGACTTTTCTACTTCTTCATTTGGCACACAGTTTAAGATCTGTCTTCCTATGGGATTGTTCGGTGAATTTTTTTTTTTTCTCTGTTAGAGAGTGAA